TGGCCACTGTTGCCGAGGGCCCCTGCTCGCAGGCACTGCAGGGGAGGGGAAGGCAGGAGCCAGGATCCATCAGATACAGAGCACTACAGGAACTTAAATGCCAGTACTTGGAATTGCAAAGCACTGCTGTGGACTTGCCTGGCCCTAATGTGGTGTGGAGCAGCGTGCAGGCAGCAGCGGGCCGGCTGCTCAGAGGGATCCACGTCTCTCTTATAGGGAGCAGCCTCTGGGAAGCCCCAGGTCACCTGGATGCCCATCTCTGTGAACAGCAGGTAGGAGTCACCAACCATCCCTGGTTTTCCCCCAGCCTCTTCAGGAAGGGTTTGATCATCTGTGTCCTTTAAACCCTGATTTTCATGGCACAGCTCATCTCTGAGAAAGATCTGTTGGCTCTCTGCAGCAGCTGAGTGCTAAGGTCCTGCTGCCATGCCGGTGGCCATGGGCCAGAAAAGACCTTCCCCTCCAGGCTAATGGAAGGAAAATGGAGATAAGTTTTTTAAATTGACTCTGAATCAATACGAACAGTATTTTCTAAGCACTTTTATTAATAAGTACACACATCCTTTCTGTCCAGGGAGGATTCCCAAGCATCTCCTGTGTATTCTAATAACCTCTGCAATCTGAAATAATCAATGTATTGGTATCGTATTTTTGACTGTAAAAGGAACTGAACCTCTTTGGATTCAACCCTCTCGTTAACTGCAACTCCACCTGCCGATCAGTAGTCAAAAATATGGGCAGAAGGACCTGTCGTGTTAGAAAGAGAGTAATTGGGCTGCTCTTGTTCACAGGGAGCAGACAAGGGGTCTATGCTTCACCACATCCCTATGTGGAGGAGCAGCACTGGCACTCCACAGGGATGGAAGGGCCACGTCCTGCCCAAAACCAGAGGGTGGATCATCAACAGTGTTTTCTTTTTGCATTTTTTTTTCTTCTCAGCAAATTTGTTATTTTAACTGCAACAAATGTCAGAGGAAAAAATATTCTAGTGAGGAAGCAGGAGTTCTGCCTTCTGCGATTTTAACTTCGCATTGGAAAAGAGAACAATCAGTAAACAGAAATAGAATGAAATCTTTACATTTCCTCAAAACCACTGCTGTTTCCAGCCAGCTCTGTTGGAGAGGGTGCTTCTAATGGTGCTTGAACAGCGCTGCTTGATGCAGCTCGGTGTTAGCCTGGTTGCAGAAGCCTCACGGAGGGGCGTGGAGTTGTTTTTGCAGGGCTGTGTGTGAGCCTTGGCAACCTCAAAAGCATTGGCTGCCTCTGAAAAGCTATTTAGCGAGATGCGTGGTGACAATGTAGGGCATTCCCCAGCCAGCAAAGGGCAAACTTCTTGAAAAACACTTCAGCAAATGGCTGGGCCAAAGAGGCTTGTAGCATTTGTCAAGGTATTAGTAGTGCTCTAGAGATCATTAAACCATTAATGTCGTGCTATTACAGTTGTTGGGGTCTTGAAATATAGGAAGTGACTGTGGTGGTAATAAAATTGCGTGGGACCTCGCTCATCCCTGGAGTTATTAAATAAAGGGAGGTCAGGACTGCCTGCAAAGGCAGCGCAAACACAAACCAGCCTGATGAGGAGCAGCGGAGGGCGCTGATCCTTGGAGCCGGGTGGCAGTTTGGATGGAAAGGTCATTTTTCCGGAGTTGCTTAATGGGTCCGTAGAACCAGGCAGTTCTCTAGAGGGGGAATAACGAGCCTTAATGACTTTTCAGCTCAGGGTCCCTCAAATTATCTCGGTATTTGTACGACTGTAGCCCCTCCTGTAGAGCAGCAGCTCTGCCCTGGCTGGTGAATTGTCTTGTGAGATGCTGACATGGCTGAATGCAGATGTTTTCTAGCAAAATGGGATCTCCTACTTGAGTTACCTTTTGTGGGTTTGGAATTATCTTTATGTAGTTGATGCCTTTCAGGGTGACTTTTTGAGATTTTAAAATATGTCAAACTGGCTGTTCTTACAGAAGGCTTTGCACACTAACACTTCAGGTTGTACCTCAACGTAACAGGTTGGTTTGCCAGAATAACATGGAAACCCCCAACCCCTTCCTGTTTCATCAACTAGTTATACTGCACTAGGTATTACTTTATTAATACTAAGTTGAAAAGGTGCTTAAAAGGAGTGTTGGCAGTTGGGTCTGAAAGGTACCTGGATAAAAGCAGAATATTTAACAATGCAGTTGCAGTGGATTCAATTAAAACTAATGAAAAATCTGCTTGTTCCTAACTCTTATTTTCAGGAAAATGATTACCACTGCAATTGCTGCTCGGCAATTCCCAGCCACCTCCAGCCCCCGGCACAGCAGTGGTCTCCACATAATGCAGACGCTGAAATGAGAAATCAGCACTTTATAATGGGCTCTCCGACTACAATTAAACAGTGATTTCCTGGCTCACGGTCAGGTGGTTGGCATCCAGTTAGCTGGGCAAATGCTTCTGCACCAGAGAAGTTCTTATTTGGTCTTTGATGTTACATTGACCGTGTTCTGTTAACTTTCGGTCCTGGATTCCCTTGGAGAATATGCCGTATGAACAAGGTGTTGGATGTGTAGCTGACCCTCGTGTGCCACTGAGGTGACACATGAAGTGTGTCCCTGCAGAGCTGTGCTTCAGGTTGCGTTTACAGCCACGGCTCTTTCTAGGAACATTCAGCTTCCCAGCACTGAACATGCTGGATGTACTGAGAGATGCATTTTGCCTGGTGTGTTATTTGGGTTTCGGGTGAGCATGTAGCAGCCACGGATGCACATCACCAGCACAGGGGACCTGCGATTAGTCATAGATGTCTTTTCCTATGGAACAACCCTTCACTTTCTGAGTTACAGGAAAGCAGCTTTATCCATTCAGTGTGATCTTTACCCTTTGACACCAGTGCCCTGGCTTTCCATGTCCCAGCCGAGAGGACCAGGGAGCTTCTCCGGTGTTGCTGATGGTTCAGTGACCCAGGCAGCTCCAGGTTTCCTTTGCTCCAAGTTCCTGCTTTATTCCTCCTTTGACTGCTCTTTGTGGCACAGCAGCGCTTGGTAACTGCCTGGGAGGAGAGATTCTGCTGGGGCTGTTGGTCTTTAGGTGACCCTGCGTCAGATCACTCCCCTCTCCTGGTTTTCCTGTCGTAGTTTGTGTATAACAGAAAAGGTGTCTTCATGTAGAGGTTCCTGCAGGTGGGAACTGTGTTTCTCAAGGGGTTCTTTGATATGGTTTCTGTCACCTTCCATACAGTTAAAGTGTGACAGAAGAGTATTAATTTTCTGTTAAAATTCCCCAGGTATTTCCCTAAAAGTGCTGCTGCTTGATGGCCTTAGTGCTGAGAGTATAATTTAAGCATGAGCCACTTTTCCTATCTAATGTCAATCCTGAAATTTATATTCTTCTGGAACGAGGACTACAATACAATGTAGAATTTGCAAATAGATCCCTAAAAGAGAGACCTGATTGCCCCAGTCCCAGTGGCTCCTGTTTTGCAGGAGGATTTGTCAGACCCTGAGCTGGGCACAGTCCAATCCAGAGGGCTAGTAACAGCAGTAATTATATTTGGGGCTTGAGAACAATACCCTGAAGTGAACAGACATAGAGCAATAAGTTGAAGATGAAGCTAAAGCAAACCATGAAGCAGAAAGGAACGACTCTTTTAGTAAATGAGTGCACTGAGCTAATGAATCATTTTGAGGCAAAAGGAGAAATTAAATGTGTGCTGGAAGCTGGCACATTAGTAAATGGGCTGTGGGTTTTTATCCATTTTACATTTCAAAATGCTGAAATAAAGTATGTCTTAGGGTAAAATCCCATTAAGAAATAATGCTCTGAGCAGGGAAACAAGGATTTTGTTAACAGGAAACAGGGACTTGGTTCCTCTTCCCAGAGCAGCCTTTGTGCCAAGGGGCAAGTCATGGTTAGGTACTGATCTTAGGAGGAAGAACAGCATTGGCATGTCATGGGATGGTATTGGCATGTCATAGGGTGGTGTTGGCATGTCATGGGGTGGTGTTGGCATGTCATGGGGTGGTGTTGGCATGTCATGGGATGGTGTTGGCATGTCATGGGATGGTGTTGGCATGTCATGGGGTGGTGTTGGCATGTCATGGGATGGTGTTGGCATGTCATGGGGTGGTGTTGGCATGTCATGGGGTGCCGTGCACACTGAAGCACCCCTATGATCCCCTTGGAGATGCTCTTCGCTGAAGGCTGCTACCAAGCACAAGCAGGAGCAGCTATGGAATGGTGGCATCTCCAAAAGAGGGCGGGATCCACAACCATCCCTTTGCAGTCCCACCTGCACACTGGGGCCCTCACGGGTCTATCTCCTGTGCAGAACTCCCCTGGCCATTGCAAATTCCCTTTCTATGGCTGACATCCTGAGAAATCGATGCCAAGCACGCTCAAGGAGCAGCAGGTTTTGTTCTCACCTGAAGAGGGGACACCAGGTTGTTCTGGGACACGGTGTGTGCACCTCTCCAGGCACCATTTAGCCTGGCCAGGGGAGCAGTGATTGAGCCCCTGCAGCCGCTCACAGGGAAGCAGCAGTAAGTTGTTCTTTGCTCAGTTCACAGCGGGTGCGTTTAGGAGGGGACCTTGCTCTGCTGCTTTGTGTCTGCGAGCCAAGCACGCTGAGTCTATTCCCTGGCATGCAGTCCACGCACCGCTCTTTACACAGAGGAATAAGATAAAATAGCTTCCTCCCCCTCACGTTGCTACTTAAAACCAGGGATGGGGAAAAAATAATCCCTCAGCCCCTGCCCTGCTTGTGGTGATAAGAGCAATGCAATCCTTTTTTTAAAGGAGGCAGCCAAGGCAATTACGTTATTTAGTAAACAGCCTTTTCAGAGGTTTCTGCATTGTGGATGTTCTCTCGGTCGTTTTGCACCAAATCCGTTGCAGCAGCAAGGCCAGAGAGTTTGCCTCGACTCCCCTCACTACCAAAATAAATGCACAGGGCAGGATTGTTCCACTGAGCAGCCGTGACTGGGGAGAGAGAAGAAGGAAGGAGATGGTACGTGCCGACAGCTCTAAACTGATTGCGGTGAGGATTGCTATGTATGAGAGAGTTCAGGGGGGAAAGAGGAGGAAGTCACAGAGGCAGCCAAAGCTCGCAGGATGGCAAGAGCCAAGCTGAAGAATTCCCCCTCTGAGAGCAATTCCCATGTAAAAACTGTCCCACCAGCGACGACAGAAGATGTCCATGGGGTGAGCCCCTTGTTACCGGCTCGAAGGATGGGATCCATGGGGAGTGATGTCGGACAAAGGTATTGCAGGACCGCAGTGGTGCGTGGGGCTTTGTGGGGGGGGGGGGGGGGGGGGGAGACCAC